CACTTTCAAAAAATGTTTCACTAGTTAACTTGGTATTGGTTACAACGACTGATGGTGTGTCCCTATCAGTTAACATAATTTTGACTAAACTTCAGTAGTAGGTAAGCATGGGTATGGCTTGAATGCACATTTCTATGATATGTAATAGTACCACTTATATCTAGAAATGTATGCAAAGGACACCAAAACCTAACTGCTTATTTATAGACATATATAAGGAGTGGCCAAAAGGTAGATCCAATCCACTTTGTCGGACTGCAACTCCCATTATGATTTGATAGCCTCAAGGGACCACTCCACATGCATATAGCACTTCAGCACTTCAAATAGATACCTCTAGCTGTCAATGAAATAGTCAGGAGGTTTCTTCTTGCTTCTGTCAGCTCCCCTGAGCTAACTGAAGTGTAGACGTGCTCTACTTGAGCATGTTAGTCTCCCATCTGCACACCTTCTTCTCAGACTAAGATGAGAATGCTATGCATTGAGCACACAGTGCAATGAGGGAGAGCTTTGGCAAGTTTCTTAATAAAAAGCCTCTGATAGGCTATTCCCCAGGGGAAAAGAAGAGGGCTTGCAAAGGCTGCAGTTACGAAGAAATGCAACCTTTGCAAACGTTTTTAAATTCTACCCCCAATGAATACATGCATGGGAAATATGTGTGTGTTCATTGGGGATATATCTACTAAATAGTGATTTAAACTTTTTTCCCACTTGGGCAGTGGAGTGACCCTTTAAAGATGACTTCACAGTTGGCTAGATTCTGGCACTTGGTGGTCTGAATAATATAAAAGAGGTTTCAATCTGTAGTCTCTCTAACTTATATAGCAGATAAAAACAAGATAGCTGTGAAACCCTGAATGTTAAAGACCGCTCAGTGTAAAAGCATTTAAATGTTTTTAAAATCTAAAAAGGAATGAAAAAACAAACACAGTTTTTTACAAATCCACCTTTAATGGTTTCTGTTTGCTTGTGTGATAGATTGCACTTTGGATAATATGTTTAGAGGAGCACAGGGTCCAGTATATAATTAGGATAAAATATGTCCAATCTGTCTGGAATAATGTGATTTAAATGCTGCACTGTACACAGGATCCTCGCCTCACCACTTCAGCATCAGCAAAGTGTTCTCTGAGTGTTTGCTCTTAATGCTTTCTGAACAGGGTTTTACACTCCACATATTTAAATCAATTCTAACATCATTTTAGACACCATGTTAATGTAATTCGTGATTTACCAGGGGAAGGCCAGCAAGTGGATGAGTGAAGATGCTTCTTGTATTGACTTCAGCGGCTACACACAGAGCACCATGCAGTGTCTCAATTTAGAGATTGTGTTGTATTGGAAGTTAAAAGCTGCAATATGATTCAAATGGCCTTGGACACTTTCCATTTATTGCTACTACCCAGCATGATTTTCTTTGGTACAGATTTTAGTGAAAGAGGTCCGAGTACAAGATTCTCAGAGCATAATTTGCTGTGCCATGGTATAGCAACATAGTCTGTGTAAAGCTGGCTATCTGCAGCCTGACTCCTTTGCGCTAATATAGTATAGCTATATATGCTTCAAAAAGCAGCTGGTACTACCCTGGTTTGTTCTTGTATGGAATATCAGTATGTGGTTCAGTGGTATTGGTAAATTATTCAATGGCACAGTTCAATTTAAAAACTGTTTCCTAAACTCCCAACATGAATTTTCTCATATGGTATGTCAATATATATTGCAACTGGCTCCAAGTATGCTTTGCTCTGGTATGTATACTATAAACAGGTTGTGAGCACAATATTTGTTACTTGACTCCATCTTGTTTTTTTCTTTACCATCTTATAAGGCATAAGATAGTAACGTAAAAAACAAAATGGAGTCAAGTAAAGAATATTGTGCTCATGGACTTTTGAACTGTTCCAAGAGTAAACCAAGAGAAGTGTCCTTAAAGGTGGGCTATGAGTGACGACAGATCCTTTAGGTATGGTAGAAGTGTGGAATATGAAATAAGTTAACTTGTTTCTACCATGCACCTCTTCATTATCTATTTTTCCAAAGGGGCTGTGGTTCTGAATTTATGTCCAAAATACTGTCCACCTGTCATTTTATATAACTTTATCCGGTTAAAATGGGAAAATTAAATTATTATTTTTTTAATTCTTTGTTTTAGTGGTGCTTGTGAGAACAAGGAAATGTACCATGTCACAACAACAGTAGTGTTCATTTTACGTTCAATCATACCATGAAATACAGGTGAACAAAAGGTTGTACATTTGCAGGAACAGCACATTTTTAAGATATAGACGAAGTCTAGGCTAAGAAGTCTTGTCTAAAATGGTAAATAACTTCATAATAAACTTTGCATGTTACAGGCCAGAGATACATGTCATTGTGGTGTATCAGAAGGTAGAGATTAGGTTGCATAGATTAGGGCACAGTTACCTCTCGGGGGAGAGCCGAGTGCTCTTGAAAGAGCGGCCACCAAGAAGATCGCCTAGGGCAGGGAGTGCCCGTCATGTGAGGCTCACCAGTCCCATAGGGAGGGGGGTTATAGCATTGAGTGTCTGCCTGTAGCTTGCGCTATTTCTTTATTCAGATAGCAGAATGTTATATCTACACCCTGTTCCAAATTATTATGAAATTATATTTTTCTCATATACCTAAATAATTGATGTAAATAACAGTCAGCATAATTCTCACGTTATCAACAATTAAGAGTACAATTCAAATTTTATTGAACAAACCTCCTAATGATAACAGTATTTTTTTTTTAAACATAAAAAACTTACAATTCACTGTTCCAAATTATTGCGCACAGTAAGTTTCAAAACACTTTATAGGTTGTAAAGAACTGAAAATTGTCATTTGTTGTGTTTGCAGCATTTTTACTGAAATCAAAAGCTTTTTAAATCAAACTTATCACAACATTTTAACTTTTTAAACATTTTAACAGGTCACGTTACATGTTAACATAGGACCCGTTATTTGATAGCAGCTTCACAAGTCTTGCATCCACTGAACTTGTGAATTTTTGGACAATTTCTGCTTGAATTTGTTTGCAAGATGTCAGAAGAGCCTCCCAGAGCTGCTGTTTGGGTGTAAACTGCCTCCCACCCTCATAGATCTTTTGCTTGAGGATGCTCCAAAGATTCTCAATAGGACTGAGGTCAGGGGAGGATGGAGGCCACACCATGACTTTCTCTCCTTTTATCTGCATAGCAGCCATTGATGCAGAGGCATTCTTTTCAGCATGAGATGGTGCATTGTCATGCATGAATATGATTTTATTATGGAAAGCATAGTTCTTCCTTCTGTACCAGGGAAGAAAGTGGTCAGTCAGAAACTCCACATACTTTGCAGAAGTCATCTTTACACCTTCTGGGACCCTAAAGGGGCCGACTAGCTCTCTTCCCATGATTCCGGCCCAAAACATGACTCCACCACCACCTTGCTGACATCGCAGCCTTGTTGGAACAGGGTGGCCGTCCACCAACCATCCACTACTCCATCCATCTGGACCACCCAGGGTTGCACGGCATTCATCAGGACAGTTTTAAAATTAGTCTTCATGTATTTTTATGCCCAATGCAGCCATTTCTGCTTGTGAGCATTGGTTAGTGGTGGCCGACTAGAAGGTTTATGCACAGTTGCAAAACTCTGGAGGACTCTACACCTGTCCGTGGGACTCCAGAGGCACCAGCAGCTTCAAATATCTGTTTGCTGCTATGTAATGTTATTTTAGCAGCTGCTCTCTTGATCCGATGCATGGATCTGGCAGAAATCTTCCTCAATGTGCCTTTATCTGCACAAACCCGTCTGTGCTCTAAATCAGACACAAATCTCTTAATAGTGCAATGATCACGCTTAAGTTTTCGTGAAATATCTAATGTTTTCATACCTCATCCAAGGCATTAAACTATTTCACTCTTTTCGGCAGCAGAGAGATCCTTTTTATTCCACATATTGCATGAAAATGGTGCTCTGCTTAATAATGTGAAACACCCTCCTGTAGTAGTTTTTCCTTAAATTGGGCTCACCTGGCAATCTAATTATCACAGGTGTCCGAGATTGTTTTCAGTGATCAAAAGAGCCCTGAGACACAATGCCATCCATGAGTTAAACTGAAAAACAAAAAATATTTAATCTTTGTGACACTTAAATAGAATTTGCATAATAATTTGGAACAGGGTGTAAGGCGTCTGGGCTTGTGGATAGGTCAGGTTAGCTGATACTGATGCTATCTGTTCCATCTCTCGTTGGTATGGTGGGTAGGAAGTGCTTGTGGTGCAAAGTGTACTACACCTCACCTGCCGCATGGGCTTGAATGTTAGGGACCCCATGTCCCCTGAGATGAGAGTGTAGTAGTGGGTTGGATTTTCTAGTGTACGTTGAAGGAGGTACCGCTCATTAACCCCTGAGCAGGGGTGGCGAGTAGACACATATGTATTGTCATCGCAGCCAGGGTATCATACGTAATGCTATTATTAGATACAGTTAAATCCACAGAAGAAAAATATAAATATAAACTGGTAAGTGGATTGGAATGTGAGACCCAGGTAGAGCTCACATCTGGGTGTCCGTCCCGACCTCTCTTGGGGTGAATTGCACCACCTTGACAATGTCCCATGAGCTGTGTGGGCCACTCCCTGGGCCCAAGGATGAGGTAAGGATCAATTTCTGGAGGAACGCCTCTAAGTAGTCCGCAGAGTTGAGTGGGTAAGTGTGACCCTCTTTGGTGGCTTGGAGAGTACGTGAGGGTCCCCATTTATATGCGATGCTCGCTGAGCGTAAGGTTTGGGTGACTCTTTGAAAAAACCTTCTCCGTAGTAGCATTAATCTACATAACTCCTGTAGGAATAGGAATTGCATGTCTTCAAAGCCATAAGGTGTTTTATTCTTCACTGCCTCTTGGACCGCTGCTCTATCTCGGTTCAGTACGAAGAGCACGTCGCGGGTAGCTCAAGCCGGAGCCCTGTTAGACTTTGCTAATTGAAAGCAGCCATCCAGTTGTATGCTTTTCACGGAGGGTTGCGGCATCTGGAAAACAAGAGGCACCTTATAAAGTGTGGCATCTCGTGGTCGTTGACTGTTTCAGCAATACCTCTTATTTTGAGGTTGTTGCGTCTTTGGGTATTTTCCAGAGTGTCCATTTTGATTTGAAATGCTCTGTGGGCTGCCTGGAGGCTTTGGATTTGCTCATTACTGTTTTCTTGTTGATGGGCCACTGTGGAGAGGTGTTCTTCAGTCGCCCTTACTCGGGTCGTGACCACAGTGATGTCTTCTTGGATAATATCAAGGTCAGCATTATAGAAGGCATGAATGTTATTCATGAGGGCCTTTATGTCCCCTTTCGTGGCTGGGGCTGTTAAGTCCTCTGTCAGAGGTGTGGATAAATTACCCACTGTGTGGGGGATTTTGTCAGTGGCATCCATGACCTCCTCGGAGAAGGTGTAGGGAGAGTCGGGTGGCGCCACCATTTTAGGTCTAGGCCTCTGTTGCAGGAGGTCACCAATGTTGCGGGAGCCTTCCCAATTCAGGGTTTTCAGCTTTTTTGTTTTCTTCCCCATGTCGGGTAGTGGTGTTAGGCTTGGTGTATGCTGAGATCGGGTTCGTAAACACCTTGCAGTTTATAGCAGCGGGAAATATAAAATGACCTCAGCCACCATGCGTCTGCTCCCTTTGGTGTCCAGACCACGTCCCGGTAAATTCCTAGTTTTAAGATACTTTATTAAGACGTTAGCGCATCTTGTTAACTAGTAACCTCTAACGTAAGACTCTAGTTAAGACATGTACACATATTTTTTTATATTTCCTTGGTATGTTCAATGCTCCTTGAATCTTGTTAAACATTTGTGTGTGTAAGAAGGATTCATCAGAGATCATTTGTATCTCTCCAATATTGTCAATATTGCTGTATAGTTCAATAAACATACCTATTCCTCAAAAGAACTATGACAAAGTTTATATACAATTTTCTCGCAGCATGCCTTGCTCTATTAAGGTAATATCAGGCCACTTTGCAAATGTTTTTTAGGCTCTCTGGATGTTTTGCTGTGTTTTTATTTACACTCCCAGTAAGTTGGATCCCAACATCCATTGCTCTAATATAATACAGAGATAAGCCTGCAGGATGTAGCCTGCCAACTTGAGTGCTATACGTAAATATTCATAGTCTTCACTTTTACTTATGGATATTATGAAAACTAGAGGACTAAAAAAAAATAGGTATTCAGACACAGATAACTACATAAAAGCAGATTAAATTACATTTATTTTTTGTGACAGAATTGCTTTAATTAGCAGGTGCCTATTTCAGTTTGTCTCTCCTTCTTAGGGACACTTGATGGGCATCTCTGATTAGAGCCCTGACTGGCACCATTAATCATTAACAGCTTGACCAGGCCCCTGACTGTTAAAGAGCACTGAGTGGAAGTGAGAGCAAATCATGTCTTCCCACTAACAGGTATGTGTGCATGTGTGCCAGATGGGTGTTTATCTGTGTATGTGTGTGTGTGTGTGTGTGTGTGTGTGTACCTGTTAGTATGTGTGTGTGGGTCAATGTGTATGTGTATTTATGTCCGTATATATGTGTATTTGTAGTTTAGTGAACTACGTTTCTCTTTAATCCTGTACCTGACATCATCCATATTGTAAAAAAAAGTTTCAAATATAAGGATAGAAATTTACTAATATATGCCATTTTCCATGTAGGAATCCAATAGAGACATTTTATACATGATAATGTGAATGCATTACAATTAAAATGGTCAAGCCAAATGGGACTGCATGGTATTATTACCCAACTCAATGATATTTGTTTTATTGACCATGCAATAAATAAAATTTGTGTAGACCTTGAGGGAATTCAGATCTGTAAATCTGAGATACTGTTGCTGGAATTGCATTTACCAAGATGTCTTACTGGCAAGAAGAGTTGAAGGAACTATAACCACTTCATCACAATGTTATCGCACCTGTTTATGAAAAGTTTAACCCCACATTTTTGTAGATGGCTCCTGTCCGCCCAATGCCTCGTCTTCAATGTGGAATAGGCTTTTGAGATAGGCTGAGAGCATCAGCTGATGCTCTCAGCCTATCACTACTTTCTCAATAAGAAAACAATGTGCAAAAGGTACCTTTTTCATGTAGGTTTAACTGTGGGAACCTAATGATAGGACGCTCTCAGCCTATCACAAGCAATCAGTCCAATGCCCCTTAAGGCAAGATGGCGCCTAAGACCTCGAGTTAAAGTTTTTATGGTGTCCAGAGTGTTCCTTTAACTATAATTTCTATTTATTTAATCAAACACAATTAATGCTTAACACTGAGAAACTTAACACTGAGAAACAAGCATATAATTAGGGTATTATTCACTTAACCCCGTGTTTTATTTACGATGCAATGCAATTTACAGTAAAAACATTGTTTATCATAATACATTTCTCTACTCTTCCTGTAAAATACTTCTGCCGTGATTTCATTCCTGCTATTACAGAAGCCCTAAATGACCTACACAGTAACATAACACAATTAGCAGCTCACAAGGTACTTTTGATATATTTCAAATTAAGAATAATTGTATATTTTTTCTGCAGGGAAAATACTTGTAATGTCACAGAAGACGCACATCAGATAGCAAAGGTCAAACTGGAATCGCTGGTGTAGTAAGGTGAAGGGGGAAATAAAAAACGCTTTGTTTAATCCCTGCAAGCGTTGTTGCTGATCTGACGATATAACAATGCATCAAGATGGCCCTTTTCCAGTAAATAAGCTCATGAGCCTTTGTAACTGCAGCAAAAGTCAATTTTATAATTAGCTCATTAAAGCTTGCTGGCAAGGCTCCAGGCGTTGCAGGCGGCTACTTCGTTCTCCCTACGTACACGACATCTTCCACTCAACTTAGAGCACAGACTGATGTTGACCATACTGCTGGAATAAAATTCTCATTTCACACCTGTCAAAGAGAAAAAAAGTAGCATTGTGAGTCTACAATCAAGGCTGGTATCTTAAACTGAAGCACAGAAGCTCATATGTACCAAAGCAAAACAGGAGGAATTCTTGGGCAAGGTGCAAGAGTGAAGCAACATTTTATTAATTTCCACAGTAACTGCTCCTTATCCTGCACTTTGCCAAAGTTATACAGAATAGAATACAAGAATTAAGAATAAAAAATGGTGCAAGAAGACTTACAGGGTTATTAATTAAAGGGAGAATTCAAAGTGAATTTCAAATTTAAAGGAACACGAATCTGTATTCCTAACACTTTAGTCTCCATCTCCCTCGTTAAAAACAAGTCCCCAACAAGCCAGAAAGATAATTAAAAAAAAGCTTTTACTCAGCTTTTCCAGTGTTGAGGCTCACTCTGAGCTGTTCCCATCTCTGCTTCCTGCAACATCATGTTCAGGGATCGTCCCATTCCATGTTCCTTATAGAGAAGCATTGGGGTACTGATGCTTACGTATGCCAGACACTGTGAGTATTTAAGCTTCCTCCAAGGAAAGCATTAAACCAATACTTTCCTAAAGAGGCTTTCTAAAAAAAAAACTGCTATGTTTGCAGGAATAAAAAGACATGACCTCTGCAGAAAGGCCACTTCACTGAGATGAAGTGACCTGGATGACATTAGTGATCCTTTTACTTTGAATTTAAAATTCACTTTGCAGTCACTTGGAATACTCACTTTAGTGAATAACTCTGTATGAGTTGAGCATCTCTGTTTTTTTATAAAATCATATTTAACTGGTATGACAACAAACTGGGATTTTGGGCTAAGCCTAATTGGTTTTGTCCTCTTCATCATAATAATACCTTACAGAAAATAACATCTTTTTTATTTTTGCCTCGATAAATGTCTCATAGGATATTCTGTAGTAAAGTAACAATCACTGTAAAAAACAACACATTATCTCTGATCATTTTGCACTTATTTTCCCTTGATAAATCTCACCCATAATGTCTTTGAACAAGAAAATGTCATAGCTTAGCTGTGGTAAGGCTCTTCCTTAAGCCAGTTTGCATAAAAAGACGGCACATGCCTAAAAAACAAGACAATCAAAGGTTGGAGTTGCACCACTCTTCGTCAAGAACAAAGAACGGACCAGGTAAAGTTAGGATTAAGCAGATTTATTAAAGCATACTGGGGATTAAGTCAAGACAAGACTTTTTCTGTCTTGTATTTATCAGCATGCAGTATGATTGAATATTTTTGTTATCTGCGTGCAATGCGCATGCATTTTACTGTTATCTGTGTGTATCTCTGTATGCTTGCATTGTCTCCTTACAGTGTCTGTGTATCCTTGTAATAACTGTGTGCAGGATATCACAAGTCCTTATCATTGTAATATATATTTTTGTGATTATTTGTGTGTGTGCTTGTGATTTTTGTTTGCAATGTCTGTATTTACAAGTGAGATATGTTTTGTATACTTGTCTTATGTTTGCTTAGTCTGTATTTACTTGTGATTTTTGATTGTCCAATTGCTATAATGGTCCTACTCAAATCTCAAACCATATTAAATCCGTGAAAATCTCCCAGGAGAATGTTTCATGACTCTTTATCTAGGTTCACATGTTTAATGTTTCCCAAAAGAATTAGCCCCATGGATCCGTAGCACACTGCAAATCACAGGACCTGTCTGGCAGGAAGGGTATTGCAATAAAATGGGAATAAAGACTCTAAACCAAGCACTTGTGAAAATCAGAATAATTCATAGCCTGAAGGGCGAATACTTTACAGACATTTAACAAGGAAAAACATATTGCAATATTTAATACATGACGTTTATGGGTTTAATTCTGGGTCACTTCTGAAGGCATGGAATTAATAAGACCATTTATATCTGCTATTATACAGTAAACCCCAAGCTGTAAATATTAAGGAGGGGATGAAGTGCAGCGCTGTATATATTAACTCTTTGTACTGCAGAAGTAGTAATGGGGTTAAATCGCTCTTGCAAAGAAGTGTGTTTTGTTTCAATCACCATTTGCCTTTGGCTGTCAGATTTGTATTTATTGTTCTGGATCTGATCTGTTGACCTTTTCTCTGCTAGATCTCTGCACACAGAGTTTTGTTTTTCATCTGAAAACAAAATCAAGAACAAGATAGATTTCTTACCTCTCCTATTGCTACAGCAGTGCTCCATCTGGCTCCATCATTGAACTAGCCATTGCTTACCAGCATCTACCTACATACCTTTGCCTGTTTGCACCTACCAAAACATATCTGCATACATAAATATTTTATTTATCTTCACCTCCTTGCATTCATTACCTGTAGCAACTTAAGACATTTACATATCTTTACGTACTTATTTGTTCCAACCTAACCTTCATCCTTCTGCCTATATTTCCATACTTACCTCCACTTAAATGCATGTTTCTATATGCATGTACCTATCTACTAGCACTTACCTGCATGCACCCACCTATCTGGCCCTACCTACTTGTACCTACTTACAAGTATTTGTATTTACTTACCAAACATACATTTCTGGACTACTGCCCTTCTCCTGGACTTGTGTATGTGCCGTATATAAAATATTTTTGAGTGTGAATTATATGCTTTACT